AGCTCCTGTTTAGAGAAATAACAAAGACACCTGTATTCTGTTACAAGGAAAGAGGCTGGTCTGTGGCTGCTTCGCAACCTCGCTTGGGGGAGGTGGAGAGGTTTGTAACAGTGCAGAGGATCAGCTACACTGTGTTACAGGGATTTCCTGCTGCCTTACACAAGGGAGGAAGGAAGGGAGGGGAGGAAGGAGGGAAGGAGGGAAGGAGGGAAGGAGGGAAGGAGGGAAGGAGGGAAGGAAGGAAAGGAAGGAAGGAAGGAAGGAAGGAAGGAAGGAAGGAAGGAAGGAAGGAAGGAAGGAAGGAAGGAAGGAAGGAAGGAAGGAAGGAAGGAAGGAAGGAAGGAAGGAAGGAAGGAAGGAAGGAAGGAAGGAAGGAAGGAAGGAAGGAAGGAAGGAAGGAAGGAAGGAAGGAAGGAAGGAAGGAAGGAAACTCTGGTGATCATCTTCCTAAGACTTCTTTCATCTGCCTCTCAAAACTGGAGAGGGTGGTTTTTATGGAAACACCCAGTTTAATGCCAATGGACACTAAAATTTATTTCATAGTCAGGACTAGTTGCAGAACCATATTGTTGCAGTCAGAATGGTGCAGAACCACCATCTACTTTCCATTCTACATTTATAGAATTAGGGTTCCAAGGTCATGTGGTTGGAATAGGAAATAGAAATGGACATTTCTTTGAGCTTGGGATACAATGGGTGAGCATTTCAGAAGAGAAATCAAATGGAAAACTGTCAGGGTTTATTTTTTACAGAAACCCAGGGTGGGTCAGGCTGGAGGGGCCCACAGGGGCTGCTCTGGTGCCACCTCCCTGCTCCAACAGGGCCATCCCAGAGCACAGGGCCCAGCAGTGTCCGTGTGGCTCTGCAATGTCCCCAGGAGGAGACTCCACAGCCTCTCTGCTCCATCTGCTCAGGGCTGGCACTGCCCAGGGCAGGAGTTCTGCCTCCTGGGCAGGGGCAGCTCCTGGGCTGCTCGGCCCTCCTGCACACAGGGACAGCCAGGCCTGAGGGCCCCTCTCAGCTGTCCTTAGGCTGAACAGGCTTAACAGCCTTTTCTGAAACAACTTTTAAGTTTCTGGAAGAGAGGATTTGGCCAGAATGAATAACAAAAACAAAACAAAACCCAAGACAGACAAACAAAAAATCTGCACAAATGCCTAGGAATAGAAAACTACCCCCTTGAAACACTTCAGGGTTAAATTCTAACTCTCTTGACGACAAATATTCCTAAGTCTCACCATTAAGTCCTGTCTTGGTTATTAAACAAGTATTTACAATTAACTTTGCAAGCCAAAATTCATATAAGCCATTTTAAAAATGAAATTAATTTGCAACTGAGGTACATGAAACTAAATTTAGACATATTTTGCCTTCCAAGCCAGGGACCCAGGTTTGGTGAAGGCTCTAGAGAAGAAATCTTATGAAGACCAGCTGAAGGAGCTGGGAAGGGGCTGAGCCTGGAGAAAAGGAGGCTCAGGGGGGACCTTGTGGCTCCTGACAGGAGGGGACAGCCAAGGGGGTCGGGCTGTGCTCCAGGGAACAGGGACAGGAGGAGAGGGAATGACCTCAAGTGATGCCAGAGGAGGTTCAGGTTGGATATTGGGAAAAATTTCTTAATTGAAAGGGGCTGTCAGGCTGCCCAGGACAGACTTCCCAGAGGGAAAAACACATGGATGTGGCACTTGGGGACATGGGTTAGTGGTGGCCTTGGCAGTGCTGAGGGAATCTTAGAGGTCTTTTTTAACCTACACCTACACTATTCCTAGGACAGCTCTGAGTACTCTAGTCATCGTCACGCTCTCCCATTTTTGGAGTTATCATTTCTATGGCAAAATGAGCAGCTGAAGGAGTATTTTTATAGTGTAAAGTGAATTTCAAAAACATAGAGTTGTTCATTTTAAGAAGTTATCTCAAAATCTAATCTGAATTGGTAGGTAGCATCTTGATATTAAACTTAAGATGGTTAAACTGTATCTTTGCAGGCACTGAAAGTATTTGACACATGACACATAAGCAGGAAAATAGTGCTCCTTTCTAAGCACTTTCACTTCTGTAGAAGACAATAGATCACTTGTCCCCAAGCCCTATTCTCACTCCATGCAGCTGAACAGGGAAGGGGGACTTTGCTGTTATTAATATTTGATGTTACTGAGTTATAAATGACAAACTTGGGCTGTGAGCAGGGCACAGGCCTGAGCAGTGCTGAGACCTGAAAAGCAGCTCGGGTTCTGTGGGGGATTTTCTTTACAGGCAATTTTGAAACCATGGTTGGAAGTTAACTTTTCTAAAGACAATTTTCTACCTCAAACTAAAAATAACTCAGGAAAGACTGTATCTTAAAAGATCAGATAAGATGATCACAGATTATTTTTTTTTAATATTTTGTACATGTGTAACTCCAAAAAATGATAAGAGCAACAAATATATTCAGAAATGTTTTTGTGATGAAATGCATGAAAATATTTGGAAAATATTTTTATAATAGAATGAATACAAGAGTTCACAGAGATTCTGTACTTTACTAGAAGTATTTTTCCCTATGTAAAAGTTCAAGCCCAAAGGCAGTTTCAGCAACAAGTTTAAAAACATTCTTAGGTGTGCCCTCACCTCTTGACTTGAAGGAACTCCAACGTGAGTCAGTACACATCATGTTTTTTAAATAAAACATTATCTTACACTTCCTTACCCTGTGTGTTTATATATATAAAATGGCTCAATTTAAAAGGAGTGGGGAGAAATACAAACTAATGTTTTACAGATTACCCACACACAAATGTACATTCAAATTGTAATACTTGCCATTTTCTCTGTCCAATTGGAAGGTAACTTTTAACTTCTAAAGTTACAAAGCAATTCAGTTTCTTCCAGGGTGGTTTTTATGGAAACACCCAGTTTAATGCCACAGTATTAGAAAAATGGGCACTAAAATTTGTTTCATAGTCAGAACTAATTGAAGAATCATATGTCTAGTTTTCCATTCTCTTATGAAAACTCTGGAGACAGTTCATATGCAAACGAAGTTCAGGAGCAGGGCAACTAAATGAGGACTGCATGGAGCTTTCTCTGATAAAATCAATAAAGTCTCTGACTCATACAAAAGTAATATTGGATAGATTTCTACTTTTTCCAACCCAAATAATTATTATTTTTTATATTTGCACAATAGCAAATTGAATCTTAATATCAACCATGTTTTAATTAAACTTCCAGGTAGAAGCATTTGTTAAAAATCCAAATTTAATTTAGCTGTAGCACTCCACAAAAGCAGTGCTCATTTTCTAAACAAGATTTCGATGTATAGCTCTATTTTCTACATTTAATGCTGCTTTTCATAAACACTGCTGCACTTTCCCATTCATGCACTGCACCATCTCCAGCTCATACATCCTTACCATCCTTTGGACCTTCAGTATTTTCACTAGCTACTTTCTTGAAGAAATATGCACTGGTTTAATTTCAGGAGACGTTTCTTATCCTAATTAAACTGGTGGTTTCTTTTGATTCATCATGAACTTGCCCCTAAAGGACAATCGGGAAGAAGTACCCTGAATAAAAATGTAACCTCCTTTGAGAGGAAGCAGAGCGGCCAGGAGCAGTTTGGTCTTGTGACTCCAGTGAGTCATACACGGCAGGACCGAGCAGATGGAGCCAGGACTGGAGAGGAGCCGAGCCAGCCTCTCCTTCCCGGTGCATGGAGCAATTCAATGTCCTTATTCTTTGAGGCACCTTTTCCATTTTTTCGGAAAACCTTGAGAGATCACAAAATGAGGAATGCTTCACCATTTCAGAGCACAGAGCAGCAGCTCCAGTACATCCCAGTTTGCAGACACTCGTGCTGTTGCAGGCCAGCAGGGACAGATCCGGACCCCAAGCTGCTGCCGGGGTTACAAATCCATGGTTATCCCTTGTGTGTGATTCACACAAGGAAAATGTCTTTATTTGGAGGGTCCTCTCGAAGACGCTGTCATTAGTTTAAAAACCAATGATTTAGGACAACTGTCTTAAGTTATTTCAGGGTGTGTGAGGAAGTGCTGGTGGGAAAAGGGCACACAGGAGCGTGATAACAAAAGTGCTAGAACAAAATTAACTACCTTGAATTCCTCGCGAGGACGCCGAGGGAGCAGCACGCCAGGGCCGCTGCTGTGGCGATGTAAAGAGCCTTATTTTTGTTTTCCGAACCTTCCGCCAACAGCGTCCCCGTTAGGAAAGCGCACGGGGGCAGCGTTCCGCCCGGCCGGGGCAGCAGCAGCGGAGATGCGGAGGGGAGCGGCTACCGGGACACGGCAGCACCGGGTCCTGCGGACACCCGGGCCGGGGAGGCTGCTCCACACCCCGCGTCCGTCCCGACGGCACCTCTCTGACCCCGCTGCCGCCCCGCGGCTTCCCCAGGGGCATCGCCGCCCTCTCCCTGGGCAGCCGCACCGGCCAGGACACTCGGCCGGTCCCGGGCGCGCTCCCGCCCGGCCGGGCCCGGTGCCGGTCCCAGTGCCGGTCCCAGGCGCGTTCCCGCCCGGCCGGTCCCGGTGCCGGTCCCGGTCCCAGTGCCGGTCCCGGGCGCGCTCCCGCCCGGCCGGTCCCGGTGCGGGTCCCGGGCGCGCTCCCGCCCGGCCGGTCTCAGTGCCGGTCCCAAGCGCGCTCCCGCCCGGCCGGACCCGATGCCGGTCCCGGTGCCGGTTCCGGGCGCGCTCCCGCCCGGCCGGACCCGGTGCCGGTCCCTGTGCCGGTCCCGGGCGCGCTCCCGCCCGGCCGGTCCCAGTGCCGCTCCCAGTGCCGGTCCCGGTGCGGGTCCCGGGCGCGCTCCCGCCCGGCCGGTCCCGGTGCCGGTTCTGGGCGCGCTCCCGCCCGGCCGGTCCCGGTGCCGGTCCCAGGCGCGCTCCCGCCCGGCCGGGCCCGGTGCCGCCCCGGGGCGGGGCGGAGGCGGTGGCTCCTCCCATGGTGCCCCGCGCGCGGCAGAGCCCCGCGCATGCGCGCAGCGCCGCCGGCTCCCAGCTCAGCGCAAGATGGCGGCGGGCGCGTCGGACCCACTGGAGGAGATGCTGCTCTTCTCCGAGGAGGTGGACGAGAAGGCGCTCAGCGACCTGGTGGGATCCCTGGAATCGCAGCTGGCCGGCGGCCGCGGCCCCGCCGAGCCACCCCCGCCCAGGACCTCCGCCCCGTCCCAGCAGCCGCAGCAGGGGAGCCTGGCGGGGGGCAGCAGCCCCGGCCGGCAGCAGCCCGGCCGCCCCGCGCCCGCTCCCGCGCCCGGGGCAGGGGAGGCGGCGGGACGCCCCGGCAGCGCGGGGAGCCGAGCCTCCGCCCAGGGGCCTCTCCCGTCCCCGTCTCCCCCGGCGGCGGCGGCAGCGGCGGCGGGGAGGGGAGCGAGTGTAAACAGTAGTAGTGTGCAGCAATCACATGGAGCGGCTCCCGGCGGCGGCGGCAGCCCCGCCGCTCCCGCCCCGCCGCAGCCCGCCGCCCCTGCCCAGCCTGTCAACAACCATGTGGCCGCCGCAGCCGCCGCCGCTCGGGACGCGGGGAGCCCCGGCCCCGGCCCCAGCCCGACCGCCGCCGACGGCGCTCCGGGGGCCGCGGGGGGCGGCGGAGCGGCGGAAGCGGCCGAGGGCGCCGCCGCCGCCCCCGCGCCGTGCCCCGGCCAGGCGGCGCCCAACGGGGAGGGCGCGGGGGCCCGGGCGGCCGCGGTGCCGCCCGTCGGCGGGCACGGCGGGGCGGCCGCCGCGCAGCCCCAGCCCGCGCCCGGCGCGCTGCCCGCGGGCACCGCGCTCGGCGCCTCCGCCAGCCCCGCGCCCGCTCCGCCGGCCCCGGGCTCGGCCCCGCCGGCTCCCGCGGCCCCCGCCGCGCCCAAGCCCGCGGTCACCGCCAAGGCGGGCGCTGCCCTGCCCGCCGCCCCCCAGGCCGTGTCGCCGCGGCCGGCGCTGGGCGCTGCTCCCCGGCTCGTGGCCCCGCAGCTGATCGTGCGGCCGCCGCCGCCGCACGCCACCATCCAGCTGCCGCCCGGCTTCACCATCCCGCCCGGTAAGTGCTGCGCCGCTCCGCCACCGCCGCTCGCTCTAACCTTTGCTCTTGGCCGAGGGCTTTCCTTTCCCGCAAAGCTGCGTGTCCCCGCTGCTCGACGTGCTGGACAGCCGAGAAGAGGCACCTGTCTGCGGGCATCGTCTGACGAGCCGGCTGCCGCTAATTAGGGTGTAACTGGTACGGCTAATGCAGAGTAATTGCAGCTGCTGGTGGGTGAGTTACTGGTTTTGCCCTGTGGAGAGTGGCAGTCACGGTGAGTTATCCTGTGATGGTGTAGTTGGACATCGGATAAAAAGGTATAGTGGTCGCCAAGAATAACTTTATATATGTTTTAAAGGACTTTTGTTTTGCACTTGATAGTCCTGAAAAGTTTTTCTGCTGTGAACCAGATGTTAAATGTGTGTAATCTAAAATTTATAATTTCAGTAATTGTGATAATGTCATTGTTGTGTGAGGGTAGTTTTCATGTCACCAGATTTTATTTCCAACTCCAAAGCAATTCTGTCCTCTTTGTACTCCTCTAAGTTTCTTAACTTTAATTAGTAAAACTTTAAGTTCAGCAAGGTTGCTAGCTAACCAAACCAGCATCCCTTCATCTTTATGGTTCCTACCCTTAACCTGTATATTGCTTCATCTGAAGGGTACTGAGGTCCCCTACTTATATTTTCATGTTGCAAAAACTTGGGTATCTTCATGTCTTCTTGATTTAGGAGCAGATTTAACATATAAGCTATTTTTTTTTCCTGTTAATATTAATAGTATTGTAAGATGTGGACCTCTTGATGTGGTCTGAAATAACTGAGTTCTTCCAACTTATTTCTTGAAATATTTGATATTTATTAGCTAAGTAGAGTAGCAATGTTATGGTATAGTTGTTTGCTTCTGAGTGAACTTTTAGTAGTTGTGTATTTGGCCCTAGTTTATGAAAAATCCTCTAGAATCTGATGCTCCAAACATACAAATCTTGGTGGTTTTTTGAAGACCCAACTTGAAACAGCTAAGTTTCTCTTCAGACTGTGTGCCCTTAACCTTTGCCTCCCTTTGTTAATCTGGTGAAGATTACTCTGTGCAGATGATAGTGTGCATTGTAACTTTGCCCACAGTTTCTGAAGTTAATTGTGTCAGTGCTTTGATCTGTTATTTTCAAACAGAAGAGGGAAAACTGAGCCTTGAAAACAGTCTGATCCAGGATTTAGGAAATGTTATGGAAATAATACACCAGAAAGTTTTAATTCAAATTTGTTTTATTACAAGATAGTTAGAAATCCAATTAAGTTCCATAAACATGAAGGTAGTATGTTCTAAAAGGAAATTATTCAGAAAATACAATGTTATTTTTGAGTTTTTATGTTGATGGATCATTTATAATTAATCTGAAACTCCCATATAGCAAACTTCTATATAAAACAGAAATTTAGAATCAGTTTTTGAGAACAGATTATTTTAGCAGATGATGCTCATAAGTTGCATATTTCATCTTGATGAAATGTCCTGACTGACAGGAAGCTAAAATTAATGTTATCATTTAACTGGCTTCTAACTTGCAGCAGCTGCTCAGTAACAGGACTTTGTTGTCCTCCAAACTAAATTAAAATATAATGTTAACATGTGAGCATTTATTCATTTATAATAGTAATTGTGTCTGCAACTTTGATTGACATTGTGGCATGGCTTTCGATTAATTTGTCATTTCCACTCAGTTTTTCTCTATTCAGAATTAGGTTTAGAAAATGGGAAGATAAATTAAGAACACACCTGTGAATCTGTGTAATGCAAATAGAACATGTGTTTTTTAATGTGTGGTAGGCATTATCCTATGAGGATTCTTGTGTAAGGTTCACAGTCATAATCAGAGAAGTGGTAACCCATTTGGCCAGTTGGCATATTCGGGTGTCCAGATGGTTTAGGAGTGGCATATACCAGACACATCATCTGCTTGCAGGATTTTCTGCAAATGTAAACTGTGAAGCTTGGTGCTTAAATGGCTAATGGACCTTAAAAGTTACCTTTTAGATGAGTTTTTAATGAGTTTCTTTCAACTTTCTATTTAAATTACTCTTGGCTTTGAAAGAGAGATATTATTATGGCTTTTGGATGTGGTCCTTGCTGTAGCTCTGTATGCCTGTTACCTTAAATTTTGATTTCCATGAATCTTTAGTTTATAGTGGCAGAAATTTGCCTTCTGTTTGTGTGTGTTGCAGGAAAGGTTGGCTGGGAGCACCCAGCTCTGTGAGGACTTTTATGTGTGCTGCAGCTTTCTCATGTGTTCATCCCACAATTAAGACTTTGTTTTTCCATGTCAGACTGAAAGATTCTCTTGCTGTAGGGTTCTAAAATCTGTTGTAATAGTGTTTGAATTTCTCTGTCCTCAGGGTATGTTACAAACTGTGTTGCATTAGGAAGGTGTTGGGTTTTTTGCCCGGGAAGTTAACAGTTAGAATTGGATGTAAACTGTTACCTTTAGAATTGGATATAAGAATTTACCTTCTTCATTTTTCTTTGAAAAGTTAAAAAAGTGTATGAAGTAATTTGCGCATAGAGGTAAGTTGTAGAAACAGTGTCTACTGACCCTGTTATCAGCACGCTAAAGTGACTTTGTAGGTTTTTAGTTTTTGGTTCTCTAGTAGTTGCAGACTAGATGTTTTTCTGTTTATTTGACCTGCTGTATCCTATCTAGGTTAAATTATTAAAATGTATTCTGGAATTAACTTGGAAATTCTTTTTAATAATCTGTCTGGAGAACTGCTTCTTAGTTCTGAGTGAACTATAAGAAGAACATTACATGCTTTGCAGTGACCTTGAGTATGTGAAACTCCAGAATCCATGGACCAACTTAGCCATTGTCTCCCTTTTTCTTACCTGCTGACTACAAAAGCTTGGGCACAGCTTGATGGCAATGGCTCTGTTGTGTAGAAAGCCTCTATTTGTGAGGTATTTTACAAGAAAAGAATCTGAAAAAATTATCATTTACTTCCGGAAAGTGTTAGAAAACACTCGCCAATTTTCTAAAATTTCTGCTCTGTGTTCTTGTGTGCTGAGGAATCGTGTTGGTTCTCTGGGCCTAGCAGTGTTTGTTGCTGGTGTTTAAACCACAGGTAGTGGGTGCCACCCAAAGTGGTGATGGTGGGTACCAAATAGATTAATCTGCTAATGTTCAGTGTTAAGTAAATCTCAAATATTGTATATTCAGAAGTGTCTCTGGCCTAATATTTGCATGTGCCCATAAGCTGTTGTTTAGTAAAGCTCTCAGGTCTCTGTCCCTGGCATGCACTTACTCAATTGTGTTCCCAGCAGCTGTGTTGTCTTTAGAGTTTACTTTTAATGAGTGTTTATTTCTAATTTTGTTCTCCTGACCCTGACTAGACTGCTGGAAATCACTGTCCCCCAAACACTCCAGTGGCTGCTTTTTTTCATCACTGCTTTCTATAAACTGCAGTTATTTAAATTCCAAACTGAATTGGGTCTGCTAGTGGGGCTTCCTTTCTTCTTTGAAATAAAATCTCATGTTACATGAAAATCAAAAAAAGCTACACTACAGGGAATAATGTACAGTGCTATACATGAGCTCTACTCTGCATTCTGTGGTTAGGTGGTTCTGGCTGTGTTCTCCTTGCTGCTGTTTGCTGAGCAGTGGCTGTTCTTGCCCTCCCTAGGGATGGTGCTGGTGCGCACGGACGCCGGGCAGCTCGTGATGGTGCCCCAGCAGGCTCTGGCACAGGCTCAGATGCAGGCCCAGGTGCAGACACAGGGACAGGGTCCTGCCAACGTGTCACCCAGGCTTTCTGTGCCCACAGCTGGCCCCGTTTTTCGCCTGTCCACAGCTCAGGTATGTCTGGCTTGATTTACATTTGCTGCATTATGTCTTGCACATTATTGCCCTTATATGTTTCTGCAACTGTGCTTTCTCCCCTTTTAGTTGGGAAAATAGGAAATACTTATTCAAATGTAGTTTATTTTATGAGGCTTAGGATTTTTTTTCTTATTTAAGGAAAAAATATGCTTTAGAGAATCTCTTAAGACTCTGTTCGGACTGAGAGATGATTGGAAGCTGCAAAGCTCAGTCTTAGTCTGGACTGTGTGCCACTGGTTTAATAAGTGTCCCTTGCAGCTCTGAATCAGAGGCACTGTGATATCCCAGGATAGCTAATTTCACAGGACATTAGAAAAGAGAAAGCCAGTCACATTCTATCCAACCATTTGCAATAAATTTAAAATAAATTTTTAAATATACTTTATTCAAAAGAAAGATTTGATTCTTCTAATTTGCTTCTGGGTGTGATCTGTCTCCACCGAAAGTTTTTCCTGTGTTGTGAGTACATTTCCCTTTTTCTAGGGATTGATAGGATAGAATGCTTTCCTGTCTTATCAGTGGAATGTGTTGATTTGAACTTGGAGCTGATTCATTTTCTAGGGTGAATATGGGGTGGTCTTTTGTTGTTTGGTTTTGGTGTTTTGTTTTTGTGGGGGGTTTTTTGTTTGTTTGTTTTTTTAATTTCTTTGAAGACTGCATTGGTTTAGAAGTTTGTAGAGAGGCAATTTAGCTTGGGGCCATTTAGGGCTAGACCTGAGGTATTTGACTAAAATGTGGAGGCAAACATCTTTGGATCTTGGTACACGGCTGCTGTGCCATAGTAGTAAGAGGCAGAGTTTAAGGTGGTTTTGCTTAAGGTGTGTGTTTGCAGAAGAGATAAGCAATTCTCTGTAGAAAGATGAAAAAGGTGCCTTTGCAACTTTTTAGTTCTTGTAGAAGTTGATTGAAATAAGTTCAGCGTGTATTTCCCAATATTTATCATTTCATTACTTTTCCTTTATATGCTTTATGTATCACACTGTATTTATAGTCTAAAAGATTTTTGAGTTTAATTCAAAACTGAAAACAATAATAAAGATTTTCTGATGAGAAGTAAGCTGGAATAAATTGGGGGAATTGAAAACAGATACAAGAGGCGATCTATAAACCACAGAGTGGCCAACTAGAATGTAAGTTTTAGAAATGAGTGTACCTAGGAAGACTGTAGCTCAGTGTCAGGAAAGACATAATGAAAGCCTGGAAACAAACCCTTTATGCTCTCAAGAGACAGGTAAGTGCAATATTGGATGAAATTTGTTAAAGAACCCTTTGCAGAAAAGGCAGCCATATAATGTTAAAATTTGTGGTATCTGCAAGAATAAGACTTGTAGAAACCTTCAAAGTGAAATGTATTCCAGGAAAAATAAACACAGAGATAAGCCTGTGTTTCTTTACAGATTTTTTTTTTTACTAGTTTGATGACAACAAAATTGCAGCCAATTCCTGAATTTGTACATCTGTCTTTGGTTGTTGGGGCCTTTCTTTGCAAATAAGTGCAGTCACTTCTTTAGTAATTACTACAAGCAGATGTTCTAGCAATGGCTCTGAGACAAGTGCATAGTGTAAATGCAAAACAGGTGTGTGGTGAGACTGTATCAAGAATGGGATCTAAGTCTGTTATTTTTAGCTATTTTTTTTCTGTACTGTTAGTTGTTCTCTGGCCAGTATTAATTAATAGTGAATTAAAATTCAACATGGAAGCATTCATAGCAGATATTAGTAAATTGTTTGTAATTTGAAGATTTCTGAGGAATAACTTTTACTGCACGTGGAAGGAAGTGTGCAGAAATGTAGGCCCCTGCTTGGCTCTGGGCTCAGTCTGGGGTTTGGATCCCAAAGTCGGCCTTAAGATGTGTGCACAGCCCATGTAGCTCGTGTTGATCTCAGGCAGCTGTTCTCTCCTTGTGTGAAGCAGTGAATGTTGCAGAAGGGGTATAATCCTGCTTGATGGATTTATAGAAAAATAAACCTGTGAGGATAGTGCATGTTCAGATGTTTGTAGAGTCAGCTGGAATCTGGAGTTCAGGTATTAGAGAGTTGTGTTTGTTTTTGTACAGGGTTCTACCCACTGCACTGTAGGTGTTCCTTTGCACTACCTGGTGCTAACACACTGGCTTGGAATAGAGGAAGCCAGCAAGACCTCAGGAATGATCAATATCTTGTAAGATGCAAAAGTTGGATTATTTTAGTGTAGGGGAATTAGAATAATGATATTGTAGCTTGTCTGGATTAATCTCCTTTGAAAATCTTAGTAATAGACCAAACTGAACTGCATAATTTCTGTATTTGTAATTAACAGGGTTAAGAAATAATTAATATGGCCCTGGGAAATTTATACTCAACTTCCCTGACTCTGCGTTTGATCTTCAGAGTCTTCTTTCATTGTGACATACTTATGTTTTATATATGTTTGACCTTAGAGTGCTCTTTAAAAATTGTGGTCAACACCTCTTAAAACAAGATTGTAAAGATATAAATTCTAAAGGTTTATCTAATCAGAACTAGACATAAGACTTTTATTTGATAAGGTGGATGGTTTATAATCAGAAACTGTTTGTTAGTTTTCCAGATGAAATGTTCAATGATAAATATTATGCTAAGGTTTTAGAAATGTCAGTTATTTGTTTGAGTAGACATTATAGTTAGTTGATTCAGGGATCGAGTGCTAAAATAAAGGAAATTGTGTGTACTGGAAAATAATTTTTTCAAGGAGTTTTTAATTATGGCCAGAAAGCTGAATTCAGTGAATTAAAATTTCCAGAAGAAGTTTAAAATTAATCAAAAATAATGTGCTAGGTTTTTATGTATATAGAGTATGAATGTTCAAGAGTCAATGATGTCTACTGTGACTGAAAACCAGGAAAATTCTGGTGCCATTAGTTCAAGACAGAAAATAAACATTAGTTGCCTGAATCCTGCAAAGTGTTTTGTGAGATGGATGAACGTGCCAGGCTCTGGAGTTTTAACCTTTCTTTCTGATATTGGTATTGGTTGGTGTGTTACTGTGTAGAGCTCAACTTAATTCCTGTTATCTTTTTTCAGTTATCTTAAAATAGCTTTATTTGGATTAAAATGCAGCGTGCTTTAAATTTGTAGAGCTTAGCATTGTATTTTAGTCACTGAGTTTGCATTTTATCCTTCTTTTACCCATATAGAAAGTCAGCATGGGTGGAAACTTGCAGTCTGCCCTCAGGATTCTAGGAAATAATATCTTATGAAGCATGTATCAGAAAAAGACTTGACCTTCATACTTTATGGGTAGTATGGTTACTGCCATAATCTGCAGATTGTCCTAATTTTTAGCCTGTGTCAGGTGTCACAAGTTACTCAGCTAAATATTTGTTTTCAGTGTTCATTTGTTTATACATTTTAAATAATTTTTGTGGTGAGAAAGTCTGTTGTGAGCTATACACCTAGATGTAAAATACAGGATATTAAATGCCAAAGAAATTGTAAAAGCTGGCACTTACTTTTGGCAACTCTTTAAGAAGTGTTGAAAGTGCTAACTGGAGAACATAAAATGGATTTGGAATGACTTTCTTTAAAACTAGAAGAAGGAATGTCTGAAAAACTCCTGAGTGTTCATTTAAATTTGAAAGCTTTTTGGTTCTCTCCCCTTAACAACTGGGTAATTTCTCCATTCTCCAAAAAGGAGGGGAAATTGAGGCAATATTTTAAATGTTCTGAAGCAAGATCAACTTGGTCATTACATACAGAGCTGCTCAGATTCTAAACCCCTTCAGCAGCCTGGGTACTACAGCAAGATTTTTCTTTCCATACCCAGGGCTGTCATTTGCTTGCAGGTATTTTGGAGGAAAATAAATCAGGTTTTCCCTGAAAATTCCTCTAGCTTCAGCAGCTGGGCTGGTACCCAAGACAGTATGTGAGGAAAGAGCCACTTTCTCTAGGAACAATGGAAGCTGCTGAGACAAGGAAAGTGTAGTGTGTTTCCCTGAGGAATTTGTGTAAGGACTGAAGTCAAGGCTTTCCTTAAAGACAGTGGCTCTATCCTTGCCTGTTCTGTTGTTGAAGGTTCAGAAGTTAAATATCTGTATACAGTAGTACTTACCCTATTAGGGAATTATAGAACTACCCCTCTTCCCTTCCCAATTTAAAAAACAAAGGTGTGTTTGGATTGCAGTGCCAAAGACAAGAGTCCAGAAAGACTAAGATCCATATCTTCTGTTGATCCCAAATTGCTGTGTCCTGTGGGTGTGCAGTGGATTCCAGTCCTTCCATGATGAACGCTTCAGTTGGGCGCTCAAGGCACACGATTGAGTTGCACAGGATCTTAAATCTGATGTTTCTTATTCTTTGATTGATTGGATTTGCTATTTAAGTTGTTTGACTTCTGTTCATAGTATCTTTGTCTTGTTTTTTTGCAGCTTTCAGGAGTGGAGGCAGATGTACAGCTTTGAGTACACTTTTGTGTTAGATTCTTGGGAGAAGAGAGGCAAATCCATTTTGAAAGGAAAACTTTGGTTCTTCTTGACTCTTAGGTGGGGTAATCTTTGATTAGACACTTAGTTATGCTCCTCCTAATTGCTGCTGTGTAAGGCATGAATAAAATCTGATTGTTTCCATTCTTAGTGGGCTTCTGGGAAACTGGCAAATGGGGATAAGCACATGCTGTGTAGGGAGGGTCTCAGCTGGGTCAGTTTGAGGCTGAGCTCGAACGTGCTGGGGTGTGGACAGGTGTCCCAGGAGGATGGATGGAGTCAGAGCCTGGCAGTAACAACAGTGACTGAGAGATGTATTTGATATTTTAATGATCTTTTCCATTTACAGTGTTCCTGGTATCTTTAAAATATTCAAGAAAAACATGAGTGCATTTGTGCAATTGTACCAAATAACAGTTTTAATTTAGTTCAAATTACAAGATTGCATAGGATTGTAATGGGAATGTTAATGGTTGGACTCACTGACCTTTTAGACCTCTTCCAACCTAAATGAATCTACAATTCTATGATATTAAC